CTCCATTCTCCTCTCGGGATCTTGGGCACGCACGCACACGCGCTCGGCGTGAGTTTTAAGCCACCGGGTCTGGGACGCGAACCGCAGTCAACTACGTGGGAGTCCAGCGACATAGCCATTACGCTAACTGCTGGTTCCCTAACAAATGTTTTTTAATGTTCAAAATAGATTCCAATGTTTTAGGTATGCCAGGTAATAGTCATCTGGTTACTAGAGATACCTGTAGTCTCCACAGGGGAGATACTCTTATTTTATCAAAAAAAAAAAAAAAATACTGGCTTTAATTAAGTTCTTCTGTCCCTTTGCTTGACTAGTAAATATTATTTGCTACGAGGTAGGGAATTATTTGGAGTGCAGAATAGGACCCATGTATGAATAGTTATATTATCACTAACATTAGTTTGTAGTAGAATTGGTTAGTTTAGATTTGCCTTCAGTGTTTTTCTTCCCGAATTAGGGCCTTAGGTCCAAGTGGAGGACCCTTGGCTATTTGTGAGAGATGACTTTAGTTGACTGAGATTTAAGTAACCAGATCCCTTCTCTAATTTAAGAATGTGTCCATTTGCTTTCCATGACAGAGAATCAAAATGGGGATGGGAACATGGGTAGAAGTTGAGCCCCTCATTGAACCCGATGCCACCCTAATAAACCAGGGAGAAAATCCCCTCTCATTCTGGGTTGGTCTTCTCCCTCTTCAGGCTAGATGAGCAACGCAGCGCTATTCCCACACGGACCTTGCATTTCGAGAAGCACTGGAGATTGCTGGAAAGCATGAAAGCGCAGTACGTCGCGGGGAATGGTTTTCGGAAAGTGTCTTGTGTGGTGAGTATTTACAGGCGGTTCACCAAGTAGTCAGAGCAGGAAGCAACACTGAGCCTGTGAAACCTTCACATCATGGCATACAAAGTCCTTTTGGTGCAAACATTTTGTGACTGATAGCCTTTATTGATTGTGAGTTCATAATGGTTTTAATTACTTAATTCTCTTGTTCCATGAAAGCTTACTAAATATTAGGTCATTGGAAAAGTCATGACGCGTTTTTCTGTGCAAAAATGCATCCATGACTTTTACGACAACCAAACAGTTAATAATAATTAGATTTAATGATTTCATCAAATTGCCTGTTTTATTTGGAGATGCTTTTGTACAAAATGAAGACTCCATTTCATGATTTTGTAAATCAATAGGAATAAAACTTTCCTATAAAAACATTCTTTGATCCAGAGACCAGTAGACAGTATAATGGTTACATCACTGGACCTCCTCTTCCCCTCCCCACCCCCTGTAGTTGACCACAGTTCAAGTCCCAGACCGGGTGTCTTAAAACACACTGGAAGTGTGTGCATGCGTGCCCAATACCCCAAGAGGAGAATGGAAGAGAAGATGTTCCGACATGGCCCATGTCCCCTAGAGGTTGATTTCTCGCTTTCTGTCTCTCTGTCTCTTTCTGTCTCTCTCTGGCAAGCACACACACACCCTATAGCAAAAATCGCTCTTAAAAAAAAACTCTAAAAAGTTCTTTGATTCAGGCTTTTGATTGCTAATCCGTGTGCAGCATGGCATGTGTTTGTGAGAGTAACAGTTCTGTACGTGGCCTTTCCTTCTTCAGTTAAGCTCGAATCTCCGTCACGTGCGGGTATTTGAAATGGACATCGATGATGAGTGGGAGCTGGATGAGTCTTCTGATGACGAGGAGGAGGCCGGCAGCAAGCCTGTGAAAATCAAGGAGGAGGTGCTGTCCGAGTCGGAGGTGGAGAGCCAGCCTGCTGGTGCCACTGCGTCAGCCCCGGAGGTAGTCATCAAAGTGGAAAAACTGGACCCTGAGCTGGACTCCTGAGCAAGCTGTCCAGGACTCATGCATTGTGATGGCCGAAAGATGTCAGACATGGGCTAAGGTGTCTTGGACCACTCTTCGTGTTCTTTGTGCAACAAAGAAATAAACAGTCAATTTTATTTTTTCATACTCTGCTTCATCTTTTCTTAGCAATCTAGTCACCCTATCTTGCTGAGATTTCAGTACCATGTGCAGATTGCAATACAGTGTTTACAGGAAACACAGAGTGAATGTGAAGGGAAAGTTCAGTGTCTGTCAAAAGGTAGGTGTCAGGAATTGCTCCTGTGTCAGATTTCGTGTAAGTAGTCATTCAGCCCTGGAAATGTTGGTGCATTTAGTGTTTTACAATTGTCATCAATATTTATTTCTATTTTTACCTGTTTCCCTGCTAGTTCATTTTAGGTCTCTCGAATGCTACCAAAATTATGTTTTCTAAGTAAATTATACTGATTTCCCATAATGCTAAGCCAAAAGATAGATCCTGGCTTTTATGAGTTAAATAGCAAACACTTTGCTTGACCACCACATAATGATCTTGTTGCCTGTTTTATTTACTTATTTTTTCAGAGAGAGTGCTGAACATGCATGGTGGGTGGAGACCCTTCATAGGGTCCTGTCAAAGCTGCAATGCCACCTCCTTGGCTCTCAGCTTGTCAGGAATCCTGGCCACATGTGCACATATCTGTTGTGTTTGAGCTGACTCAGGGATGCAAACCTGCAGCCAGCCATGTGGCTCCCACACTGCAGTTGGTTCTGACTGCACCACCAGGCTGAGCCTTCATTCCTCTTCTGTTCCTGAATTCAAACTGAGTTCCATGAATCCACAGGATTTTGGTGCCTTTTTTCCTGTTTAGACTTTGGTCAAGGATGTAGAGTGGCTGGTTGACTTCTTGGGAACATAAATACGAGTCAACTCAATATACTAATCATGTAATACCGATCACTAGCGTTCGTACAGGGGAGCTACTGCTGATTTCCTACTGCGCACTCCCAATTAGAACAGTAGTCTGGGACTTCCAGAGCATTTCTATTTTGCATATAATTTCCAACATCAGTTCACTGATAAATGAAAGGTTCACTTTTTAAAGCTTTACACACTTTTAGGCAGGAAGGTACGCAATAATCAGGTCAAGGGGTAACTTTAGGGTGACTGTTTCACTTGTCTTTTTCCTTAATGGCTGTTACACTTGTTTTGTTTTGACCAGTAAGTTGCGTGCAGTTGCCAGGAAGATAAGAGAGGGAGAAGAGAAAGTTCCTCCTGACCCCCTTTGGGAATGGTCAAGTTATTGCCCAATCCCTTCTCCATCTCTCCTGCCATTTTAGGATCTGGGCACATATACACCCAGTGTGTCAGGCCACCAGGTCCAGGACTCAAACTGTGTGATCAGCCGTCTAATATACATCTCCCTTAACCACCAGGCTACAGAGCCAGATCCCAAAACTTACTTTTTTATTCTATAAGGTTTTTGCCATAGAGCTTGTGTGTGTCTCGGAGAGGAGAGAGGAGAGAGTGAGAAGGAAAGTGAAAAATCACTCCCAAGGAGTAATGGCCATGCCGCATTCCTTCTCCATTTTCCTCCTGGGATTTTGAGCATGCATGCACACAGGGGCCTGGCCTGATTTTGAAGCTGCAGGTCCAGGACTTGAACTGTGGTCAGCCATGTGGGAGTCCAAAGCCTTAACCACCACACTACATGTTGGCTCCACCAAAAACTTTTTTCTAAGAGGATGGTAAAACTGAAATCATGGGTTCTATGATTTCCCCAATAACAAACGATTTAGTTTGGCACCTCTTAAAGTTGTGATGATTATCTGTAGACTGTTGGTATTTACTTGAATCCACATCTGACTGTCCAACATACACCATGTTTAGTTCTCACTGAGCTCAGGGAGACAGTACCTAGGTCAAGGTCACAAAGACCTTTCAAGGTGAGAAGGAGGATTGTATTAGCATAGAAATGATCTCTTAGAGGAATATTCAGCTTCGCAACTCTCCATTGTTAAATGATGAGTTCTAGAAAGCAAATTGTCAATATGGAGGTAATCGTTTATTTTCCACATCTTTCCTTGTTTCTACGCAAAGAAAAACTTCCAGAACAGGATTTCCCACAAAGCACACCCTCCTCCATTAGAATTTGCAGGGGCAGTGATTGCAAATTCCAGGCCATGGGTTCCGCCCTAAGCCCTCTCCACCAGAATGTGAATGGGACCCAGGACTGCATTTCCAGCCAACTTGCTTGATCATTCTTATGCCCACCAAGGTTGAGAACTTTGTTCTGTGAAAAGCTGTTTGTTAGTAATGAGGTGTATATAACTTGTTCCTTGTAAGATCCCAAGCTGCTGCCTCATGTTCATTGAAAATGGGCGTGGTCAGCCATGTGGGAGTCCAAAGCCTTAACCACCACACTACATGTTGGCTCCACCAAAAACTTTTTTCTAAGAGGATGGTAAAACTGAAATCATGGGTTCTATGATTTCCCCAATAACAAACGATTTAGTTTGGCACCTCTTAAAGTTGTGATGATTATCTGTAGACTGTTGGTATTTACTTGAATCCACATCTGACTGTCCAACATACACCATGTTTAGTTCTCACTGAGCTCAGGGAGACAGTACCTAGGTCAAGGTCACAAAGACCTTTCAAGGTGAGAAGGAGGATTGTATTAGCATAGAAATGATCTCTTAGAGGAATATTCAGCTTCGCAACTCTCCATTGTTAAATGATGAGTTCTAGAAAGCAAATTGTCAATATGGAGGTAATCGTTTATTTTCCACATCTTTCCTTGTTTCTACGCAAAGAAAAACTTCCAGAACAGGATTTCCCACAAAGCACACCCTCCTCCATTAGAATTTGCAGGGGCAGTGATTGCAAATTCCAGGCCATGGGTTCCGCCCTAAGCCCTCTCCACCAGAATGTGAATGGGACCCAGGACTGCATTTCCAGCCAACTTGCTTGATCATTCTTATGCCCACCAAGGTTGAGAACTTTGTTCTGTGAAAAGCTGTTTGTTAGTAATGAGGTGTATATAACTTGTTCCTTGTAAGATCCCAAGCTGCTGCCTCATGTTCATTGAAAATGGGCATACCTTTTTCTTTAAAAATGGCCCTGACTGGTTAATGCCACATGCATGGTGCCCACAGGTCTGTAAACGATGGTGTGCATATTATACCCAGCTCTTTATGTGCTGCAGTGAGTAGAAATGAGTCCTGTAGGGCCCCATTTTCATTGCAAGATTATATTCGGCCGAGTGGTTGATGCCAGGTCAGGTATGCGTGGGCCGTGCTGGTAATAAGCCTTCCAGTTAATAAATGTCACCTTTCCTCTGCTGTGTGCAGTCACACTGAACTTGGTGCCCCCAGACACGAAGCGTAGTATGTAGTTATTGCCGTTTGGACAATAAATCTGTCACACAGCACGACTGTAAACGAAGCTTGTGTGCTTACCGGCCTGTTATGTTTTAAGCATTAAGTGAGGGGACCCATTTGCTCACTCCTGTTGCCATGAAATTATTGTTTTTGTATCCCCCAACCAGACTGAAAACTGTGGGGTCTGTTTTCCTTCAGTTCTGTGTTCTGATTCTTGTTACGGAGTAAATATTATCATCCTTTGATATCATTGGGTCGTTGGGAAAGTCACGATGCATTTTTGCATAGAGAAATACAGAACGGTATCTCATGACTTCCCTGACAACCTGATATACTTTTTACCTTTGTCCTTATAGTAAAACTGACCACTCAGGAGCTCAGAGCAGATGAGGGGCCGGCTGCTGTAAACTGCACTCATGGCCAGAGTTCGAGTCCCGGACCCCATGGCTTAAACTCACACCAGGCCCGTGTGCGTGCGTACGTGTCCGAGATCCTGAGAGGAGAAGGGATT